GTCAGGATCACAGTGTTTATTAAAACCCAACCCACAATACTTTATTGCTTCCCAACACTGGCTGAGACACTACAGTGACTAAAAAACCACTGTGCTTTCACAGACTCACAGAAGCCAATGGGAACAGATTTACCTTCTGCTTTTCCATTTAAAAAAGGGCTTTGCTTCTGATGTTGGGTTTTCCTGTAAAAATTGCTAACCTATCACTTTTTAAACAGAATTTTTTTAGTTCTCTGTGAAAACTGGCAAGTTTGCCACAAAATCCACTAACTGTTTTATTCCCTTGTAAATTAAGAGAAGTGAATTTTGTCTATTTTGTCCTTTGACATCAGGCATTCTCTGTCAACTGGAAGAAATAGACCCACACATATACCATAGCAATGTAAAACTTTCCTACTGTTATAATTTATATTCTCTATTTATTAGTTTCACATAAAAGGTAGCAAAGCAACAAAAACTTTTCAGATTGAATAAAATATGATCAGTTCCTATAGCTTGAGGAGACTCTAACCCATGCCAGCTCTAAGTCTTTAGCTTGCAGTGAAAAAAAAATTATGCCAGAAGGTCCAGCTGATTGCAGCTACTTGCTAGAAAGATTCTGTCCTCTTTCATCCCTTTACAACAGCCAGTGCATCAAAAGTGAGAAAATTTGATGTCCCTGCTCATTGCAGATGGGTTGGACTAGATGACCCTTAAAGGTACCCTCCAACCCCAAATATTCTATGATTCTATAATAAATTGGATGTTCCAGGGTGATATATATAGTAGATGGCAGAAATAGTCTCCCATTAGATGATGAGCCTATTCAACATTACCTCTTCTACCACATGGACAGCGTGCAGCACTTCTTGTTCTGAAAGCCTGTTACGTACAGCAAGGCTGAGACAGTAAGATATTCATCTTCACTACCAAAATGACATTCTTAAATATCAGGAGGAGTGGTTTATAGCTGGTTTGCACTCCTCAGCTGGCATGGACTAAATATTTGGGCATAAACCTTATGTAAAAGGCACACACACAGGAAAACAGCACCAGTGCTGCTCCCTTCACTGGCCCTGTGCAAAGGCAGTGCAAGAAGAAAAGGAGAAGGAGGGCTGGAGTTCCTCCAAACTCCATTGATTCATTCACAACAGCATAGATTATAAACTAACTTGGACAGCAAATTGTAAACTGATATTGAATAGCAATACATCACCCAAAGGCTTTGGTCAAACAGCCCCCCTCTATCATTAAGCCATGAAATGAGTGGATAATAGCATTGATGTTTACCACTGGTATTTATTTTTCATTGCTGAGGAGAAAACAACCATTTTTTTATTAACAGAAGGAGAAAAGCTACAATATAAGACATTGTATGCCTTTTTTATTATTATCCTGGTACCACCTAGTTACCATTGTGTTCCCTGGTAATGCCATGGATTTAACTGGGCTTACTTCTGATTTGCACCAGCATAACTAAACAGAAAATAAAACAACTAGCTTGTATGGATAAATCTCCTTTCCTGTACTCCAAGAATGATCCTCTGAGCAGAGATTAAATTACAGCATATATTGGATAAACGAACATTCAATGCCATCTGCTGGGGTATACAAAAATATGCAACACCAGGCTTACAGAACAAGAGCAACAAATGCAAAAAAGGGTGTTCAGGCAGAAGCAGTAGACTTTCAAAGCACAGGATACTGCCTGTCCTTAGTACACTTTGGCAACCAGGTACAACCCTTGAACATGACGTAGATCTGGTTTTAACATTCTCCTTGACACAAAAGCTTTCAGCATGCAATTCTCCCTCTTTCCTAAGCATTAGAGCATGCTTTAGTTATATGTTATTGGTTAGTCTTAATAGAAGGACTTTCATGCTCTACTTTTGAAATCAGGCCATTGTATAGCCACAGATGCAAGATTTGTGAGGTTATAGGCAGTGTATGAAAGGATTGCAACAGTCCAAAACAAGAGAAAGTACTGGGCAAGGTCATACCTCGGCTGTTTTGCATTAAACAGTCACTGGATTAAATGTGTAAATTAGGTTAAGAGTAGAACTTGGGAGTCTCTTCTGAAGTGAACTCTCCAGCTCTTTGGCCCTGTAACTTGTGCTTTCCTGGCTGTACCATGAGACAACTTTGTGGGCAGACAGACATCACTGAGAACAGCCTGATAGCTGGAGTGTTCTCAGTTTTGGGGTTTTCTTCTGCTGCTAAGGGAACAAGACACATTTCTACTCACACAGGGATTTCCAGATCAGGATCCCCAAGCTCACCATGGTGAGCTCTCACAGTTCTGCATCAAGCACCGAAACTCAGGAGAAAGAAGGAGTTCAAGCACATCCTTTTTTGGATATTCTTGGTAGGCAGGCTTAGACATTCTTATGGTTGTGAATCCCATTTCCACACAGCTACTTCCTCATGCATTGTATAGGTCAACAAACTCATGGGTGGATTTGCTTAATCTCCTTTGTTTCAGTATCTCTAAATACTGTGCAGTTGGCAGATTTTTATTCCATTATATAAATTATTAGTTAGTGTATAATTTTCTACAGAATGAGACCTGCTGACAGTTTGTCTTCATTTCATATAGAAACCAGAAGAACTATTCCTGATAACAGCTATGACTCTGTAAGTACCACCCTGTTCTTCCTAAAATTTTACTTTTGTAGTTGTAATTGTAAAACACCTCCTGGTGTGTTTTAATCTTGTCTTGCCTACAATGCTAGTAACAGAAAATGTAATTGTCACTGTTTGCTAATGCAAAAAAAGCATGAGTATTTTTAAATATGTGTGAGAACTTTTACTTTTAGTGGGAGCTAGACTGAAGAAGTGACTAACTCACTTGTCAATTCTCCATTTATGGGTTGAATCTAAAATACAACCTTTACGTAAGATCATGTGAAAATAACAAGAGTGAAATTGAACAAGTATGTAAGTCATAAATCTTGAGGTTTAATGTGTAACTGATGCAAATGAAAGCCAAAAAGCCAACAGTGCACATTTCAGTGTCTTCCCTTTTTTATCGGAAAGCTTGTTTTGAGCTTCAGTTCAGGCGCGTAAGAAAAGAGTGCAAATACCTTTTAAATAACAGAAAGATGACAATAAAGCAGAGGTGTATGCTTAATGAGCAAGATGGATAAGCAAAGGTTGACTATAGAAGGCTGATGGAATCAATACTTCATCTGCTTTAGATCTCACCAGAAGATTAATAACAATAAGAAGTTATATGGGATTAATATCAAACAGAAGGGAATAATAGCACAGAGCAGAACAGGGAAAGAACAGTCAGGAGAATATTTACTCATGATAAGGTAGTTAAGGAATTATTTGAAGAAATTTCTGAGACATTAATTATCTTTGGGAACTCTCCAAGGAGTCCCGAGTTCCTCAAGTAATGGAAAAGAACAGTGGTAACATCAATTTCTTATGAAAAAGCCTGCAGAGATCATTAAACAAAGTCAATCTGAAAGCATCTTTTGGAAACAATAGGTCTGATTATGTAAAAAAATTGCTAATGTGAACATGAAGATCATCTCATCAGCTCCTCAAACCAAACGTAATTTCCTTTTCAGCAGAAATATGACCACTGTAGCCAGAAAGAAAGCAGTAGATGTGATACATCTTGATTTTTGTTAGGCCTCTGACATTTCCCAGAAGACAATCTCACAAGTAGATACCTGGAAACCTGGTGTAGACGAAAACGCATGAAGTGTTTGCACAATTGATTGAAAGAAATAGTCACCCACAGCCTAGCTGACAGTAGTCTGCTACTGAACTGGAAAGAATGGTACAGAGAAGTGCCTGAAAACTCAGGTAACCTGCAGGGGTCTGTCAAGGATGTGGTGGTATTTTTTACATGCTGCTACAAAAATCCTGCAATGTACTGCCAAGAACACTTCTTGGAGGCCTGATTAATGTCTAATTAATGTTGTAACTAGAGAGAGATGTGCACAAAAAAGAAAGTAGCACTGGAATATGAGGTTCAAAATCTCTTAAGTTGGTTGACAACTCAGGAAAGCTTTAAAGAAGCGTATTTGCTTAGTGAGAAGACTAAAAGGAAATATAATTTTTGGCCTTAGCATAATAAAGATTGAAATAAAGTGGATAGTAATCAATTTTTTTTTAGTGTCCTTGAAGGCTAAAAAACAATTGGTTTAAATTTTAGCACTCAAGAGAAAAAGCATGAACTGAAAGAGCAGTTAACTAGTAGAAGAAGACACCCCAGGAAGCTGTTGATTCCCCATTATTAGTGAATTCAAGAAGAGAATAAAAAACCCATCAGGGAAGATCCAAGGGCATGAGGTACCTATATTGTTGGTAGCAAAATATGAGGCAGGGTTCCCTCAGCTGAGTTCACTCAGCAGCAACCTCAGCTCTGTGCTAAAGGAAGACAGCAATTGTGTTCCAGTATGTAAACAGTGAGTGTGAAGGGTGGAGCAGGACTCCAGATTATTGGACAAACCTAGTACAAGTGTGTAGACACATCCAGAGACATCCTTCATCACTCTCAGCATCATATTCTATGGATTCCACTGTTCAGTACACACTTGCTATCACATTCACTTTGGCTGCACATTTGCTGTCACAAATTCCCCAAAACATGTCATGTTTTTATTTTGAAGTGTCACATTTGTGATGAGCTAGTTAATATATTCTTGCAAGTAACATGTATAAACAGTCAGTACAATATAAATACCACATGGATAATACTATAATGAAAGACACAGTTTCAAATTATAATAAAATCAAACACTATCATTATATTTTCAAAATCAGACAGGCAAAATTCAGAGAGGGATCTAAACTGTCTCCCAAATGGCTACTTTATGAATCTAAATTAAAAAAATTTAGGTACTCAAAGCACTTGCTCAACTACTTTCCAACCCTTCAATTTCTACCAGCAAATTTCCCGTGCACCAAAATGTCTAGTTATGGCAATCAGATATTTACAAATCTGAAATTAATCTTGAACTTAATTGTATTCTCTGTATATCTCTTCTTCTGTCCAGAGCAAATATTTGACAATGAAGGGAAGGGGTGACCTACAGTCTTCCCTCAAGTTATCTGAGGAGGATGATGATTACGAGACTGTAAGTTCTTCCACTCTGGAGGCCATCCGTGCTTTAAGAATTCTTCCTGCCAAACCTCTGCAAGAATCTGAATATGCAGGTAACTTCTGTCTGTGGAAAGTGAGAAAAACCTAGAGATATACAGGATCAGTACAGACTTAGAGTTTTCAGAGTGGATATCTTTTAGAATGAAATGGTTCAACTGAAATATAACACTGGTAGGCAGAAACACGAGAAGAGCTTTGTCTGTATCTTCAAATTCAAGAGTTATCCTTATTTCTATTAGATTATGTTAAATTAATAATTACACATTGTTCTTTAAATTTTAATATTTTATATATATATATATATATATATATGGCCAGTCTTCGCAAACGAAGATCCAGGGAAGGTCTTTACACCTTCCAGCCTGTGCATTGGATTTTTTAGGTGAGACACAGTGTGCGCGGAACTGAGCCCACCCTTTAATCTTAAAGTTCATCTGCTGGGGCCAAGCGAGCTTGGACGGTGGCAGCGAGGTCCTCAGGACGTAGATGGATTGCCTTACAGGGCTAACGAGCTCCATCTGCCCGGGGAGGGGCCCTGACCAGGAATCAAACCCGGGCCTCGGTGGTGATAACTCTATTATCCTGTTCCACCTTGAATGTGCAAAAAACCTGACTGATTAAACTCAAAACTGTTTCAGAAAAACTCCCTGCTGTTTAAGCCTAGAAACTTTTAAGATGGAAAATGTATTAAAGAAAACATGAAACTTGCCTCCAGATGATAACCTGCAGATGAAAAAATGTACTCTTTTTAAAGGTGTTCTTTGCTGCTTTCCAGAAGAGTAATAAGCAATAGCTTTGTATGTGCTTCTCAGGCATTCTTAACCTCGCAAGATAGCTTCATTAATCTCCTTTTGGTTTACTAAAATGCCTAAACAAATTTAAATGCCCAAACATACAGAGCCAATTAATATCCTGTTTATGGATGTGAAATATCATCATAGCTATCCTTTGCTGCAAGCCATTACAAATGCTCTCTGGAGGTTTTAAATCATAAAAAAACTGGAGGGAAATCCTAGATGAGGAGGAATGGAAACCAGAAACCAAAGATATCTGAAAATACAGGATCAATGTATTATGAAAGCTTGCTCCAGTTCACATCAAAGTCAGCAAAGATTTATCTACTGATTTTTTGTGGGACTTTGTTTGATGTCTAAACAAATAGAAGGCTTTTAAAGTGAGTAAATTTACCATTGTGGGAGCAGACCACAATCAGTCTGAATATTCGGATATCCTACATTACATTCCAAAGACTAACTTGCACATTTTATTTGGAAATCTGAATTCCAAATACTGGGTTTGTCTTGTTTAGTAGTAAAACTTTCAGTCAGCAGCCAACATCTTATGTTGTTTATGTAAGACTGTCCTGAAATACCCAAAAGATGTAATTTTTGTTTTGTGAGTTCAGATAAAACACATGAAACAAAAAGCTGCTTTTTTCCTGTATGTTATGCCCAGTAACTATAATGTGGCAAGATACAAGAGTGAGGAAAGGTCTGAAAATCTATTTCAAAAGGGTAAAATTCAATGCTAACATTTTTTACCATCTTTCCTAGATAAATACCAGTGCCCTTGAGATATAAAATTAATGACTCAAAACCACATGCTAGCATACAACCTGTGCATTTTTTTTAGACAGCCAGGGATCCAGTATTTATTAAAAGCTAAAGAGAAACTTAAAAAGCTCTCTGGAGAGTAAAACCACTACAACCCAAACAAAATCCAAACAAAACAACAGCGTTGACAAGAACAAAGACTCAGATGAAAAACAAATTCAGTAATCTAATCACAGTCAAGGATAAATGTCTGCCTTAACTGTGTACCACCTTATGAAGGCTTCTTTTTAACCACAGTGAGGAGGTTAAGCATGAAGCTATTACCAGGGTCATGCTTACGTCCTCAATACAGCTGCTAAAATGACATTAAAGTTTTGAAAAGGAAAATTTAAAATGCTATAAAAATGACAAGACCTGATCTGAAAAGTCTATTTTGAACATTAAAACCCCTTCTTCTTGAAACCTCATACTACTGAATTACTCAGTCTTGATTTTTCTTCCTCTTTCACAGATAAACGTTGTTTAAGGCCTTCAGGTTCCACTTCCCCAATGAGCGAGCACCCATCTCAGCCCCCTCAACACTCAACTGTAAGTAAAGATAATAAACCTTATTCACAAACAGATTTCTCCTTTTCTTTAATATTCTTTAAAGTTAAATGCAGTCTATTTAAAGTCTTAGCCATAAAAAAGTCACTTGTAAAAGGAAACACGTACCTGTGAGCTGTTCCTGTTTCACTTTGCATTGATGCCCTCACCACTGACTTTCACTTATTGACTGCTGAGGATCCCCTCTAAGTATTAGAGGCATCCCAGTCAGGAGCAGCATCCCTTCTACTAGACAGAATTCCAAGGGTGATGACTAATATCACATCTTTATTTTGTTTTATTAACAGATTCACACATCTGTTCCAGAGGGGTGGAGAGTGCCAAGTGTTAGAGGTAAAATTAAAAAAAAAATCTACCCATTTCAGCAAACAGAAATAGAAATTGTTACTTCCATATTTAGCTTTTGAACACAGGAAGAAACTGCAGATGACAGAATAAACAGGGTTTTCAGAACAGCAGCTGCTTTCCCAAATAATCATACTGCAAATTTTGCAATATCGTTTCAACTAACACCAAACCAATTATTTACAGAATGAGATATGTTTTATCTCCGGAGCTCCCTGTTCCTCAAGGGGTAGGAAAAAACAGCCAATCAATTTAAAAATCAGATTTTCCTTTGCCTATATTATAAGGGCATAAGGGGGCAGAGAGAAACCCATGTCTCCCAAATTCTTCCACCAAAAGGCTGCAAGATCCCTGCTAAACATTACTTCTCCTTCTCATGATCTCATGATTTTTCACTTCCTATGCTTCTCAGACATTTTGTATGAATGCATTGTAAAGGATAATCTAATAAAGATTTTTAAATAGTAATATCAACTTTAGCAATTCTTACTAGAGATTTACATCCTAGGGTAAATATTTCCAAAGGCTGTCTGACAATGTTCATCTACTAAGAATATGTTAATTGTGTGGTACATCACCTAGAATACATTTTTTCTCTGCTGCTTTACATGTAACTACAAATTTGCTTCAAAATCAAATGTACCTTTAATTTTTGTTTGCTCTGTTTTGTTTATTATGGTGAAATCAGAGACAGATTGCTATCTTGTCTTTCAAGAATCTACTGAATTATCTCTCTGACTGATGGTTTTACTCAATAATAAGATTATTTTTTAAGTAGTTTCTATAAACTTTTTTATATTTAATATACTTTGATGTAGCAGTACATCATAAAGTCAACCACTGAAGGATTAAATATCTGATTAGGTTTGAAAAGGAATATTTTTTCTCTTACCATTTTCAAACTTTTGAGCCATAAGCTAAATCTTGTCAAAAGGACTGCAACTGCCAAGCCAGGAAAATGTAATCCTTTCTGTGTTTGCTTCAACAGCTGATTTTTAGAAAGTAAGTATTGTATTTGATCAGCCAGAAAAATAACTCAAAGATTTCCATATAAAACAGAATTTGCTTTTTTTCCCCTTCTATTTCATCCTATAATACAAAATATAGATCCAAGTAATTCCTACAGATTATAAGAAAGTAAGCACTATAAACTTTGAAAGTTAAAGTTTAGATTGACTCTTGTGAGCAAATCTTGATGTAGATTTTAAAAAATCTGAAAGAATATAAATTCCAGTAAGCCAGCTTCAAAATCTGCAGAAATCAGTACACAGGGACAGTTTGCCAGTTTATCTAAAGCTTTGAATTCCACCAGGATTTACTAGGTTGGATTTACATGCTTGTCTGCTTCCATGGGATGTGTGCTAATGTTAAGATGAACCAAAGCCATTGCAAGTAGGCAAATTAACCTCTGCAGTTTGGAAATGCAATTTACATATATTTTTAATACATCCTGTGCAAATAGTGCTTACAGAGGACGTTATTATTTTTAGGTAATGACTACACTGTTAATAAATATACCTTAACATTTATTCTCGTGACCAGTGCTATTAAGAGGCCTTGCCACAAGATGGCATAAACAGCACAGAAGAAATTTTGTCAGAGTGTTTTCTAGAACAGTTAAACATTTATGGTACCATTATTTTAGTTAGAGCAAATTGTTATGGTTTACTTAAAGGAGAGCTTGAGATATGTTGCATCTCCTTTACATTAGTTAGGATTTCAGCAAGCAGAACTTAGGAGAATATTTTCAATATCAAAATCTAATGAAAATAGAGTAAGATTAAATTTTTTTTTTTTTTTAGCAAGATGTTAGTTTAAATAATCAGGCATATTTTGGTAAATTGGAAAACAAAAGAGTATATTTACTTTCATTGTTTTTCAATATTTTTATTAATTTCTATAGAAAAATTAGGACAGACAAAAAATGCATGTCAAACCTGACAAATATATAAAGGCTCTGAACAATAATTAAACAATAATTAAATTTACAATACCTGAATAAATATCACCCTCAAATGTTTCATTCTGAAAGCCAGAGCAAAGACTTCTGGAAGCACAGCTGGGGGTTTGCAAGGAATGGGACTGGACTGCCAGTAATAATAACAACAATACCAGAATAAAGCTATAATTTAATTTCTGAATTATGTAGGTAGCACTCTACTAACAATTATTAATAATTATTTTTAGGAGGAAGAATGAAAATACAGGGACACCAGGTAAGCAGAATCTCTCATCAACTAAAATTTTTACAGGCCATTCTGCCATTTAATAGACTTTTAAAAGCAGGTTGCCATTTTGCTGACACTAAAAAGGATAAGAGAACTCACATCTGCATTATCTCACTTGCATTCACGGTTTATGTAAATGTCTTTTATTCCTCAGTGATTTTAAAATAGCATGCTAAAGCATGATGCTTTGTGCTGTAGAGCACATAAACCCTTTAACTCTTGACGTGAGCATGTCTACTTAATCTAAATTCTTCACATTTCTCTCTAGTTAACCAAGGAAAAAAGCTTACAGGGATTTCTGTTTCCTCTTTTCCAGGAGCCTGTGCCTCCCCCACGGTAAGATCACGTAAGAGATTGCCTACCTGCAGTCCCTGGGGAACTCAGTGCCAGTGAATGCTCACATCCATCTGTACTGCCCATGATAATGAGGTGACTGGAAGTGAGCCAGCATTCTTTAACTGCCTGGCACTTTTTGGACTCTTACAGGTTCTGATGTGAAATCAGGGAGAACAAAACATGAGCTGTAAGTGTTCGTTAGGAGGATCTCAGGCCTGCATCTTCAAAATCAATTTGGCTGTGCCTACGGACTAGTCAAAAACCTAGATCTCTTGAATCTGGTCCAACCCAGATATAAATTGCTGGGGAAAATAAATTTTCCATCAATTTGGTTTGTGCCTTAGGCTCTGTTCACTGCGATAATATTGACTTCATTCCCTCTTAAATCATTCTGCCAATGCTTTTTGGTATAAATCTAAATCATGTCCATAGAAATCAGCTGGAAAATTTTCCATTTATTCCCACAGAAGATGGACCAAGCTCTATTGCACAAATATATTTTTCTATGATATATCCAGAAAGAAAAAATTAATTGCTTTTTGATCTTTTCAACTCCAAAAAATATCTGCTACAATTAAAACATCCTTCCAAAAGGTCATCTAGGAATTACAAGCTTATTCCTGCATGCCTACACTGACTGCCTCAAAATGTATAAAGAACTTTAAAATATGATAAGCATTACATATTCAGATATTACTTTAAAAAATGAGAAATACCATAAAAGGGCAGTGTATCTTCACAAACTCAAAATTATAAAAGTGCAGAAATAAGGTCATTCTCAATCAATTATTCTACAAAATGTCACTGTTTGGTTGTTTTGGGGTTTTTTTTGTATTATGGTGGCCAGAATGGTTTTTAATTCTCCCACCTCACTTCATCTAGGTATGTGCCCTGCAAACACACAAGGGTCCCTCCCCAGGAGCCCACAACTGAAGGGCAGTTCTGACAGGCACCATGGATACACCTCCAGTATTATCCAGCCAACCTCTCCATGCTACAGCTTCCAGCCAGAGCTGAGCTGTGACTGCCTGGTCTCAGAGCATGGGCAGAGTATGCCCAGTGTTCTGGGATGAAGAGCATTTTGTCCTCTGTGTTTGAAACTGCAGTGTGTTCCCTGGCTGAACCGTATACACAGGCCTACCCACCCAGAAATATCCACACTGGAAAGCTGTATGTGCTTGGCACATCCTCATGAGGCATAAAAAAGCAGTATTAAATAGCACATAATGTCTTGCAAATGTAGAATATTATCAAATATTACTATTGCTATTGAAGGGCCCTAAGGAGCTCCTGGACCTGAGTTTGGCTCAGCAAAATACTTTGAAATGCTCTCAGAAAATTCTAGTCTCTTACTTCTAGACTTTGCACTTACAATACAGTCCCTGCACCTCCTTTATTCCATAATAGTTCTTCAAATTCTCCTTTGACTTCTTTAGACCTCCAAACACACTGCCAAAGCAGTATCAGCCACTTCCTCCAGAGCCAAGGATAAGCAGCCAGTTCTTTCACAAGAGGAACACACTCAGCCAAGCTCCCACCTTTCCAATATCAGCAAAAGTCTCAAGGTATGGTGCATTCCTCATCCCCGTTCTCTGAGAATCAAAACACTCTCCCTGGTCAAACCACAAGGCTTTACTTCCATTGCACCTCTGCTTTTACTTAGGAAATTATTCTTTAGACAGCTGTGAATAATTGAGAGAAGTGGTATTTAGTGTAACGTGACACTGGCATTTTTTTAAGGAAAAAACTGACAAAATAACAGTAAAGGAGTAGAAAAGTAGGCAGAACTTTCAAGAACACTATGTTTAAGGTTTGTCCTATTTTTTCTTAATAACTTTTCTTAATAACATTTTCTTAATAATATTTAGAGATCTTGCAACCACTTTTAAGCAGAAAAGTTCTACTTGCTTAGCACAGTTGGTGAATCAAATGATGGGGAAATACACAGAGATACAGGAATACATTCGACATCCCGAGGATATTACATTCAGTAAAACAAATGACTAATCTTTGGGCAAAAGTCTGGCTTCAGCCCAGGAGGCCAACAAATCCAGACTATGATTCATTTCTTGCCCTCTCCGTCTTTTACTCCTGCCACACAATGCCCATGGTCATTCAGGATCCTGACATGGCAGTGAGAATGAGCTCTGCCAAGTCTTGAAGAACAACCTGCTTGTGTCCATCTGTATGACCAAGCATATGCATATGTCAGGTTATGAGTCTGCTTGCTCTTTTCACTCAACTCATATCTAGTCAGATGAGCGTGTGCATGTCACTCAGTGTCGTGTAACCAGGTGTGTATGTGGTCTTGCTGTGTGACCAAAATGCATGTTCTTAACAGGGGATGGCGCTCAGACACATGCTGGGAAGAGGAATGATACAGTTCCAGGGGCCACAGGGTATAACGCTCAAACGAATCCTGACAAAAACCTATTGCAACCAGAAGCTGTGTCAGTCCTGTCCATCCCTCCTAAAATTATTTCAATTTTATTTCACTAGGTTGGAATTTTGCTTCATTTTACAGAGGCCACTACAAATCCCTTGGAGGGAAAATAAGCTTATAAACCAAGGAAATAAACCTTTTGTTTAAAGTTAAGCATGTACTTAAGTAGTGAGCTCTAAGTATTGTTCTTGGGAAAGGTTTTTTCCTGAATGGTGCAGAAATTTTTTCATAGATTAGGTTCCAAAAGCTGTTTGTTGCTGAGACATTTTATTAATATGAAGTAGTTTCATATTCAGTGAAAGATCTATCATGGAGCTGCAAATTTCCAAATCCCATGACTGATCCCCTCCCTCAGTAGAGCAGCACATAGATTGAAAGCTTTGTGAGAAATGTTATAATCCATGTTGCCAGCAGACATCAGTATGCAGAACACTTGGATTTGAAAGGTCCTATTATAAAGCCAAATTCTGTAATATAAATACTTGTCATGTCTATTGTACTAGGGGCTTCAATCACATGAGCAGGAAAGGAGTAGCACAGAATAAGACCACACATGAACTGGGGGAGGCAGTTGACAAATTTCCCACACAACCAGTTCACTCAAAATATTTCTCAGCCATCTTCAGTCCAGTAGTACAGCTTTGTAAGGAGAAAACATGCATATGAGCTGCAGTGTGAAGGAGTCCAACGCTACAGCCGGTATCTGCTAGACTGTAAGCTAAGCTGTCAAACCACAGATGTGATTTAGGAGTGCAAGTTCTGTTATCCAACAAGATTTGGAGGACTTCTAAAATTTCACACATCATTATTTATACACGCTATAAATAGCTTCATAAAAAAAATAGATAAGTGCAGGATCCTGGAATGTATCTTAGAAGCTTTGGTGTGATTTAAACTTTTTTTTAAACTTTACCACATGCCTGTGGTAAGCAGGCCATGTGAGAGACATGTCTGTTCAAGGCAGAGGCCAGCCCTGCAAGCACACCTTTAATATCTCTAAACTTTACCATGCCCTGAATATTGGCTTTCACACGTGAAGCAATGGCCTTGGAGACCAAGCTAACAAACTGCAGAAGTTAACATAAAAGCAACTATCCAAATGCAAAACAGTTCCTCTCCTTTCTCCGAGCTTTCCTGAAACTTTCCCTGAACAGATCATTCCCAAATGTCTTGCCTCTCTATCCCTCCATGTTGATTGATATCTTCCACACAGACATGATGAAGAGACCCCTTCTCACCATTGAAAAATAGCTCTCAGGCTTTTCTGTACCAGATCTTCCTTTTGTGTTCCCTCTGACTGATTTAGCAGAATAACTCACTGTCATATTTTCTCAGTCCAGGAGACAAGCTAAACAGGGACTAAACCCCAGAGCCTTTCAAAAACTACTAGATGCTTATCTACACCTTATGTTGCTAAATAACTTGTAAAATCTGGTCCTCTGTCTCTTTTTTTATGAGATACATGATGCTAAATAGCATGAGTGTTCACCATATCCAAAACATCTCACAAAGGATGTAAGAATACCTTGTCCATTTTTGGAGGGAGAATATTTCCTTCCTAGGAAAGGGTGATACTCCTGTTGATCAGGAGAAGGTAGAAAAATACCTAAACAGCTACTTGATTTAGGACCATGAAGAACATTCTCCATTCCTCTTTCCCTGGTTTTCATCTCCTACACTTTCCATTCTGCCTCTGTGTTTCATTTTGAATCTCTTCAGTCTTCAAGGAACTTACCTCCATTTATAGCTGACTGTAAAGTGTGTAATAAGACCTTTTGGCATGAGATGAAGTGTTAAGAAAGCTGATACTTCTATCTATTCTTCCCTTCCTCCAAAACATTGTCCCACAAATAATTTATGTAAAAAAATAACCAGCCTCTGAACTTCTATAGCAGTAATAAAATCCTTCCCTTGCCAAGGGCTGTTAGTTTTCAGTGATAATGTAATCAAACTATTCAAGTACTCAACGTGATTTTTATTTTATGATAATTAAATTTTTTGCATATTCTTCTTTTTTTTCTAGACATTTATCTGTTAAGGAACTAAATGAAGTAAGTATTCATCTTCGTATATATCAAGACCATAAAAGCCATACACATTCCAGGCTATGCAGCCTCTCTTGTAACAGTATTTTAGCCTGTTATGTAAAAGAACTAATAGAATCATATTAGCTTTGGATCATAAAAGTGTCTATCTTTAACACGTGTTGCACTTTCAACACTGCTCCCTTCTGAATGGCAGGTGAATTCCTGAAGTTGTTTCCAGAAATAAAAACATAGATACAGTGCAAACCCACCTTCCTAGCTATCCACATAAAAGCATCTCTCATAACTGCCAGAGGCTGTGCATGCCTATGAACACTGAGGAGCAGGAGAGGCACTATCCTTCAGACAAACTTAGATTCCATATAGATTTTTAAAAGCAGAAGACTGAAATATAAGGTCATTAGAGGAGTGTAACAGCATTAATGTAAAATAAATACCTCAAAAATAAGGTGACCCTTTTCAATAAGAGAAACAAAAAGGGACCAATTTTATATCCAGATTTAATAATGCCTGTCATCCCTCAGCTCCACTTTCCCTCTCCTCCCCCACTCCTTCCCTAAGCTCCACTGCCAGGCTCCAAGTACCACTGAGGCGTGTGCTCCCAGTGCCAGCACTGCTGAGGCAGCAGCTCTGAGTTTCCCTCTCTGACAAGCTACAAGGGCTCTTCCCTCCCTCTCTACACCTCCAAGCTGACCCCTTCTCCTCCCAGCTGAGCCCTTCTCTCCCAGCACAGCCACATGCAGCCCCACCTCCAGTGACCCCTGCACCACTTGGCTCAGCCTAGAGGACAGAAGCCAAGAGGCGATGCTGGGAGTGCAGTTACAGGCATCTATAAAACAGAAAGCTGTAACTTTTACACAGAGACTAGTAAAGGCAAAGGATTTTTTTATTATTACTTTTTTCAGATCCCTGTCCCTGTAAAAAAGTTTTTAACAAGTTCCTTCACTTTCTACTCAGACTAATGAAGTGAAGCAGAGTTTAGCATGGGTTTAGCAATAAGGGAGTTTAGTTATGACAAGTAGTTTTCTGTAAAACTTATTAAGAGATACAGTCCCTACAATCACACAGTGTTGAAGATTGTTTGTAAAATTCAGAAATAGGTTATCATTTATGGCATTTTGTGCTTCTTACTGAATGTTTAATTTACTGCACTAACATATTCCTACTGAATAGGTTTTGATTTTTTTTCTCATTGCAAAGAAACAGAAGAAACTAATCTCTATACTAGTTAAGTCCAACTGTTCCTACCACAGTAGGCTGTAGCACAAATCTATAGACTGGTCTAGCTCTAATTTTCAAATCCACCGAGTCTTCCTTCTCCACAGTTCTGACTGGGAGGCTGTCCCAAACCTCACTCCTCTCACAGTCAGAAATTCCTTCAGTTTGAAAGATGGTTACAAAAATGTGGTTTGATAGTAATATGGTAACTAACAATTAAAAAAATTATCTATTCTCAAGAAAGGTAATATTTTAATACAAAAAGCTTTGGCTTGTCCTAGATACTGACTCGCCACAAATATAAAAACACTCCCAAGTACAATAATTATCTTGTAATTAACATTTCTGTCTGAGCACTGTACAGCTGCACAAATACTGCAGCTCTCAACAGGCTCTTAGTTTGGCTGCTTCTTAAAGGAGAAATATTGTGTGTCTCCTGGCATGGAAAAGATGGGGCTGGCCTACCTTTACCTATAGAGGGGATAGGTCCAGGGGAACCCAACAGCAGCAAGTCAGTTGCTGATTATAAAGAAGGCAGAGCATGGCACTTTGTAGAATGCGCAGTGGAAGTACAGGAGGTAATGATCTTGAAATGATGAAGGTTTCAACCAGCAATAAGGAAAAAAAATTAAATATGAGGGTATTTTTGAGGATATTGTTACAGGTTTTCCAGGGAGGCAGTGAAATCATCATATATTCCGGGAGGTTTGCTATACCCAGATGGTCAAAGGTCTGAGGCCACAGGTCTCATGTCACAGTTCACCATGCTCTAAGCAGGAGCTTGGGCTAGAGCTGAGACTTCGAATTCCTAAGTAACGTGTAAACATTATTGGGAAGGCAACTTATATGGAAGGTTTAAAGTTCAACATCTAGAGAGTCAACAATTCTTCTCTTAAATATTCAAGTTTTATAGTCTTACATGGATCAAATTAACAAAGAAAATAATTACTATTCCCATGTGAATCAAAATAATATAGAAATGTGGTGAAAGTTTATGAGTCAAACTCTGGTCTTTAGAAACTTGTGTAACATTCACTTATATGTAACATAATATGACGGATTAAGACTCTCCACACAGTGATTTTGAATGAAGTATCCGCCATGACAGTAAAAATAATTGTACTGTCAGTAAAGGAGTCTGAAAAGAAATTACTGATTTTACTCTTTGGATAGTGTCTCTCCAGTCAATCAAGACCAAGGAAGAAAAACCATAGTGTAAGTTAAACTAATGTACAATAGTCATCATGAAATGGTGATCATTGCAATAGACCATATGTTCACTTACACCCCTAAAAAATTCAGTTCTCATTGTCACCAGTGGACTGACACAAGCATTCAGCCTGGGTTTTTGACAAAATGATCCAGTATTAATGATTGAATGTCTATAAATTGTTTTAAAACTGAAATATAGTTGGGTTTGTTGGGGTAAATTCAAGTCACTAATTCAAAGAAAAATATTTACTATGTTATCATTTCATATAGGCACCTGGAAGAGAGCAAGGTCAGTATTTAATAATAGTTTGATGTCTTCCTTTCATATTCCAAAACTAAAACAGTCTATCATTAAAATTCTAACTGAAGCAAGAGACAGATGTACATTTGCTGGGAACAGGGAGATTTATAAAAATCTTGAAAGTTGTGGGAAATGCAACAGAAAAAAGGAACTTAACTTGGCCTTAGCTACAGCTATGTGGGGAACCAGGGTATCACATTTGTTCTAAGAAAATATCTTAAGGTTTTGGGAAACATAAGAGTGTTGGAGCCTAAAAAGCCAAGAGAAGAATATCTGAAAGAGATCTACACAGAGGATATCACCCTTCTCTCCATCTTGCTGCTCTCCCATAATCTGAGGGTGAGAATTTTGAAAGAAAGGTTTTTCAAAACAGCTTAAGCTGTTTATCTGTGTGTGCATGAGGGTCCATGTGTGCATGTGTGTCTATGTATGTGTGCATGAAGGCCCATGAAAAACATTACTCCAAAACACTTTGAAGATAGATCCAGGTTACGTGACTTTTATGCTGTTTACACATTGTGTTAATGAGTTCATCCATTCCTCTGGTATTTCCTTTTGTGGATCAAAGCACCGATTCCTGATTTTCAGCAAGAAATAGTACTGACTGCATTAATAAATTTAATGCCTATTCTGTTCTATAAAAAGGATTTATGAACTCTCCACATACCTCTAGTTCAGTATTCTACATTATTTACTATTATGTTAAGCCATATTTGGCATCCTCAAACCTTGTAATGTTCCCCATGTAACACTACTAGGACAAATGTTTCCCACCAAAATCATTAGCTGACTCATTTAAGCCAGACTGATTGCAGCCTTTTAAGTTTTTATGTTGAACTGCTTCACCCTCATTTATGAATATAGTTAATTTATTTCACAGTAGTTGCTACATACTGTCAGTTACACTTCAGAGGAAATAATAAGTTCTTATCACTTTTATTAATAGTTACAAGTTTGGGAAAAAAAACTGAAGTATCTTTTCAAGCACAACAGCATCATCCTGAAGCCAGGTAGGAATACAAGAATTTCATGAGTTTTTACTGAATGCTTCAAGGACTAAATATTCTGCCACAGAAAACTATACTTTGCTATGCAATAACAGCAAGATGATATAATTTTCTAATGCCATGCAGTGGTATATTATGCTTTGCCTTGTTGCATGACAAGAACCATCTTTGGGAATTGCTTTCAAGCTATTGTAATTGCACAGCCAATTTTTATCTTTAATAGCAAGCTGCTGTATTACATTTCTGCTGCTATTTCTGTGATAGAGTGTTAAATATACTGTATAAAGAAGCTCTGCTATATCCAGCCTCAGAATTTTCTCTCCTACTCATTTTCTATTTTTATTTACAAAGGATACATACCTGGCCTTTCAAAGGCCAATTATTCTTCCATAGAAATTTGCCACAGTTAGTCCTACTTTTATTTCCTAACCCACACAAATCTCTTTTCTAAATGTGTTTTTAAATCTACATTCTCCTAAAACATTCAACAAAAAAACCCAAAAGTATAGCTGACAGCATAGGAAGAATACGAATAATTCAACATCTTTCCTAGACAAATACAGAATCTCATATCTAACCTTGTTTTCAACGATGGCATTTTCCAAGATAAAATTATTGTCTGAAGTAAATGTGACAGTATTTGTCAACCTTAGTAATCTGTTTCTTCTTGTGTGGTACAAGCGGCTCTGTTATGTGAAGTTATTTTGTCCATGCTCTTCCCAGTGTAACTGTTCCAATTAATAGCACAACAAAATATCAGCGGGGCACTCAGCAGAGTCTAGAAAATCAGAACAGGTAGGGAACAACAGTTCCCTGGGTCTTCCTGTAGAGGGACTGGAAACATCAGGCGAAATTAGCAGGGAACAAAAGCAAATTGTGCTTCACTGTACATGCAGTTAAAATGTGGAACTCTTACCAAATACTCTTCTGGAGAGTAAAAAAAATGTACATAACTTCAAAAGGTGGCTGGTGAAATTAAGGGAAGAGACATCTATCAAAAGACAATAAATACAAAATTACTACCCAAAACCTATAAAGATCTAAAGCTGACATCAGTAGAGGAAGGGGTATTCTGGGGAAGCACAGCAATGCATTGCTCGCTAATTTGACTCTTACACTGGCACTAAAAAAATATTTTTCTGATGATACCTTCATTCAATGTTTTCTCCTAGCCCTCAATGTACATGGAGCCCTAAAAGCACTTGCAGCTCAGGTAAGAACCAGAGATGGCTTTGAAAACCAAATTAAATGTGGAGAAATAAGATTAAGAAACAGATTTTGGTTGCTGTGTGTGAATATCTGCACTGAGGATTTCCAATGCACTGAGTCAGTGTAAAGGATTGTTAAATAAAGGAATCAGACAAGTAAAACAATGGCACAGTCAATAGGAGTGCAGAAACAAGCAGTTACTCGCTATACCCTATGCCTGGTTCAAGCAAAGAAATGCCCAATCTACTCTGCAACTGTTAAACCAGTGCAGACCCCCCCACCCAGAACGGGAGAGGGATTTGGAGGACAATGGGGAGAGGAAGAGAAGGCAAATTGCTTGGGTGTACAAGCAAGGCTGTGAGCACAGCCTTCTCTGTTTTTCCAAGCAGAGATGTAATCAGCTCGGCTAAATGGAAGCTAGAGATATTTGGGACGTTATAGAGCAGCTACTATGGGGTTAATGCTTTTGTGTAAACAAATAAACCATTATTTGAAGAAATTGCTTTAGATTTATCCAGATTCCTAAAAGTAAGGACAGGTAAGTGCCACTATCAGGCAGGTCTATCAAATAATTATGGTTGGAAATACGACTTCCCCTGGACTCTGTGGCTCTACCTAAGGGAACATACTAGAAGCCAACATTAACATTGATTGGTGGGGTGTTCTGCCAAGAAACTGCCTGTGGTGGGGCTTCCCCAGGAACCAAGGCCATGTCTCTCTGCTCATGTTCCCTGGATTTCTTAAGACTGTCAGAAGTCAACCCAGCACACAGGAGTTGTTTCACCAGATTCATAAGCAGAATCCCTCTAACCTTGAAGACAATACTTCTACAAACACTTGTGTTAGTTTTTTGCTGTCATATCATATTGTATCTGTTATTCACCAACCCCTCTACCTAATTTTAGAAAAATATGGCCTCATTAGTATTTAACCCAAAATTGCTATGTGGTTCATCCCTACCTTTTAATATACCTACACCTGCTTTAAAAAGTATTTTCATAAACCCCAAAGAGACAAAAAATGTACTCAGCATGTACTTACATACTTTTGAAGAACAAGACAAATTTGATTATGAATTTGTGAAAGCACAAGAAAACACTTATTCTGTTTTGTAAAATTTCTTTTTGCAGAATAGCATACTGCATAAAAAGCTAAAAAATGCTATAAACTCCATATGTTTATCTTTCACAAACAGATTGGTCAGTAAAGAGGGGTATATGTACCTTACATGGAATACTTAGAAATAACATGACCTTGGTCTTTCTTATTTTTTGAATGTCATTCAGCCAAGTTAGCTCACGCTATATCTCCATTCCTCAAAAAGAGAGTTTATGCCTTGGGAAACCCAGGGACTTTGGGGACTGAGGAGCTATAGGAATCATCCACGCTGGTGACTTAGTACTGTCCTTGACTACATGGCTTACTTTTACTCTCCTGTAACTGCCTCTGCAAATGCCATTTTCTATCAAAAAGCCAAACCTCTAAGCTGTGCCAAGAACCTATGAACTGCATAATGAGAACTTATGGTAAAAGCAAATACCATCAGGAAGAACATATGGACTGTATTATTTGTTCAGATCAAGTAAAATTCAACTTAACTTTGGTCACTGCCAGACTAAACGAGCCCACCTCCCCCAGCTCTGTTTCACAGGTCCCAGCTCCCAGATTCTGGAGGGCTCCCTCCACTGAGCTGCTTCCTTCTTGTGCTGGGGTGCAATCACACATTCTCCTCTGGAGACTTACTAAAAATCATTCCTTACATAATTCACAAAGCTCATTTAGATCTCTGTTTGCTGCTGCCACTTCAGACACTTCCTACCATCACTACCAGGGCTCTTTGGGAGTTCTCTGGAGCAGCACAGTATCTTTTTTCCTCTGTCAATGCCTTACCCTCCTGAAGCAACAGGGAGAGTAGAAGTAGCCTTTCCCTCTGGTACACTACAATTGTCTATTAAGTCCATATTTGTATTAAAAAATATTTAAAGACTTAATTTTACTAAACTTATACTAATATCCTTTTTTTTACTTCTATATAAGAGCATGAGTGTTGGGTTTATGGTTGGACTCAATGATCTTTAAGGTCTTTTCCAACCTAAATGATTTTATATTACTCTCTCTGGAAGTTTTAGCTTTTATTATTAAAAACAAATTACTTTCTATGCAAAAATGTAAAACATTCTTCTTCAATTTCTTGACAAGCAGTTATTAGCTTCATCCCAGCCAAATTCAGTACATGAGCATTACAAGAGAATTTTACACTTCTTGTCCCACAGCAGAATGATGCAGCAGAAAAGAAAAAAATTTCAAGCCATACATAGCACAGGTCACAAAGCAAACATGTTTCTGGAGATAGCCACTAAAAATACAATGCAAACAAAAACGCCAAAATCATGATGCAATCAGTTGAACAGTAACAATATTTCACATTTTGACAACTCAAACTGATTACAGAAACAAAAGGCAGATGTCTGGTCCCACTGTTCACTTTGAACAGTGATTTAATTGCTGAACAGACTGATTGCCTGATAAAGACCATGGCTGTTTGACTATTTAAAACAACATCCACTGATAGCAAAACAAATATGATGCTATTATAAATCATAACTTGGTATATGTACAAATAGAACATTGAAGCACTGTGAAAACTATTACTGGTCTGTAAAAGAAAGTCTTCTAAGTTAATTTTTTTTAATATTCTGTCATATGCTACGCAATAAACTGATAAAGCGTGAACAGATAAAGCACAATGAAATACTGCTCTGGCAAACAATACTGTCTTAGGTGACAGTAACCAGAACGGAAAGACAGAAGCCACTGATAACTACATTTTTCTCATTTACTCTTACAGTAGACACTAGGACATTTCTCCCACCAGCACTGCACGAAACAAACAAAAATGTTTTCTGTTGTATAGCAGGATATGATGCTTTTCATCTTTAATTAACAACTTTTCCCCTGTCATGTACCTGCAAACTATATTTGATCCTTACATTTAAAGGAAACTCTTGCTTTCTTCAGGTTGTTTCTGCTGCATCCTGATCAGAGTTAACCCGAGCCTCCCATATTACCCCACACTTCGTGTTTCTGCTCCATCCTCTGTGCTTGCACAGTTCCCCAGAGGCTTGGGGAACTGGGTCTGCCTGTTAAACAGCAGCCCTAAATCTATAGACAACAAATCACATTTCCTCTGGGGGGAGGCTTTTGAGCTATGCAAGCCCCCTCCATCAGTGGCCCAGTATGGGGTAGGTGCACACAGCCAAAGACCACCACCTTCATCTTAATGCAAGAGTAACCTCACCCCCTGGTCTTGGATTTGTTAACTGAAACAAGTCACAGAGCAGACAGAAATTTATCAACACAGCAGAACCTCTGAATCTCTTAAGGTTTCAACAGTTCAGTAGAAAAAATGCTGGCTGGCAATGGATAATGAGGGGCTTTAATATGATCCAATTAACAGCAACAGGGATCCAACACAAATAAAGGGGGCTCAAAAGGTGAAAATAGAACAGAATGAACCATTATCCTTGTCCCACATTTAGTATTTTATTTAGCATTTGTTATTTTATTAACAGTTTATTATTTTGGTATTGTGCACAATAGCCTGGCAGATTGAAACTGTGTTAAATCTCTGGGGACATCAGTCTGAAATCACTGATGTTGCATTACCACAAGACCACTCCTAACTGACAGCTCTGAATTTTAAAGGCTAATATCACAACACTATTTCTAAACTAAAAGTGTTATTCTCAGACTTAGTAAAACATAGTGTAAAACGAAATTATTACTTTAAAGAATACAACTCTTTTCCTTCTGAATTTACTTTTACAGGTTCCACGTTAAATGTAGAGAACTTGACAGTGAAGAGGTCATCATCTCCTACACCATACACAGCATACAAAAATAAATCAAAACATTCACTGGTAGAACAGGAAATGCCATTTCTTACCCAACCCACTGAAAAGGTAAAGACCAGCTTTGCTTCATAAAAACACAGGTTTTTAGGAAACAGGATCAACACTATAGGGCACACTGCCTCCCACCCCCTCTGAAAGCTGTGGGTATTCAGCACCCTTCAAAACAATCCAATATGAGATCTTGAAGCCATAGATAAGAATTTGAATGTCTGATTTGATTAACATTTCCTAACAGGACTATATATCTATATCTACATACATATATAGATATATATAGATATATGCATATATTTTTATATATAGATATATATAGATATATGCATATATTTTTATATACTATGCTGAAGGTGCTTTACATGCAGATTAGATACAATCTGTTTTCACCAGCTTTGCTTTTGCCAGCTGTTGTTAATTTCTATACAATGACTATGATGTCTTAAAATTAAGGATTTAAACAAATGTGAATGGTACGTTGGAGAATACGATCGCCATGAAGCAGAGAAGGCACTGCTACAGGAAAACACTGTAAGTACCATTTATCTCAAAACCTGGGATATGAACTCTTGGGGAAAAATTTCTGTAAATTGTCCATAATGGCTTACAAGTTTTTTTGTGAACTAACCATACAATCTGTAATTTAAATCTGTACCATACAGGATGAGACATTCTTGGTTAGAGATCGTTCAAAGAAATCAAAGGCTGAACCATATGTTTTGGTTGTTTATTATGGAAGAAGAGTATATAACATTAAAGTACGTTTTCTGGAAGAAAGCCAACAATACGCACTGGGAACAGGGCTCAGAGGAGATGGTGTAAGTAAAATCCCATCTGCTGTTACAGTCTATAGCTTTTATGTTGCACTGCTCAAGTTCTTAATACTAAATATTAGTTACAAACTCTCCCACATAATGAACTTGCTGCTTTATTAGTTTCTTTTCCAATACTCTCATTTCAAATACGTCTCAAATTTTCAAGCAGCTTACTTAAAAATTTAAAACCAAATTTTACATACCATGCTCAAATTCAGGTTTACATCAATGTAAAATTTTCTTAAGTACTTACTTCTATCTACTGTAAATAATGCCTGTAAAATAAAAGGGACAGAAAAGTTCTACCTTTTCAGGTATATATATTATTTTAGCATATCTTTAAACTTGTGATAACATAAGCAGACATTTTCAAATATATAAACAACTTCACATATCTGACAGCATGGCCGGGTGCTGTTTTTGCCATTTAATGTCTCTTGTTGTCTGTGCCTCATATAGCAAAATATATATTTTTTTTTTTTTTAATGAGGCAATAGGACAACAGTTGTCATGGATATTCAGAAGCAATTAAATCATGTTGGTCCGCAGCAATCAGTCTTTCAGATATTGTAAATTCCAATTAGAAAATCCCTTTAGATTAGCAATGCTTTTTTACATAATTCAATTCAATTCTAGTCATGATAAGTCTAATTCTTATTCTACCCATATTGTTAAATAACACTGTATTTGCAATTCTTTAACAAAAGAAAAAAATTAAACATTAAAACTGAAATTCATCTGTATAAAGATGTGATAGCTGCAAAAAAAAAAAAAAAAAAAAAAAAAATCCTAAAACTTCAAGAATGCTCAGCTGCAGAGCAAAAAAGCAAAGCAACAACCTCCTATGGGTTATCAGCTGTGTAAATGACTGACAAATCCAACTTGGGTGAAACAGCAAAGCCTCTGTAGCTGATTCTTTGATTACATCCTTTCCATGCAGTCAATACTTCTCAAAACTTACCTTCTGTATAGATAGACTTAAAAAAACTGAAGTCACAAATGACCGAAGCCAACTTCGAGCATGTTGGCAGGTTCAAAATTTATATTAGAATTCTTATAAAAAAACACAGGATAGGATTTATGAGCTTTCACAAGAGGGACAAGGTTTCCTGGCAGGTTGTTCTTCATGAACATTGGTTTAATGATGAGAGGCGAGAGAAAATCCTTTATTATTCAAGCACATATAAACACTTTGGGAAGCTGAACTGTAGCACAAATGCAGAATTGTACTGCAGATACCATCGTCCTGGTGCTGCTGTAGTGACCATCAGTCTTCTGTAAACGACTGGCTGCATTTCTGAACTGAACCTCATAGAAGATTTCTTGGAGTTTAAGTATGATTTAGGAGAAAGCAAGTTTAGTTTTTGATAGTTCTTACATTGTTTAGTCCTCCTGGCTTAGATTAGAAATGACAACTGAAATATGGCACACTGCAGCATAATGTGTATGGTAGACTAAAGATAAAAAGCTAAATGTTCATCATGTTAACAGCTTTAACAATTAAGGCAACTAGAAAATTACTTGAATAGTACAAGAACAATTTTTACTGAACTGAAAGGAAAGAGAATACAATCCCTCCCATCTCAGGAAATACCAAAATACATTTCTTTGTTGTTTGTTCCAACTTCTGCACAGACAGAACATATCTTAAACACTGGGTCTGGACTGAAAACATTCAAATTGGAAAGTAAAAATTCCAGAATAAGGATTCCAAGCATCTAGCTAACAACCAAGACTTGGCTCTACCAGGCCAAATCTGTAATCATGGCACCTTACCTTAAGCCTTCTTTTTAAAGTATTGTTTCTCTTCAACTCAGAAATCCTCCTGTACTTCAAGTACAACAGAAATATTTCAGAATTGCTTTGCTAGTCAGTTAACTGTGTTGTTAGAATCACAGACATGGCAATCTCTGACTCCTATGCATTATTCTCAGCAGCAACACTTGAAAATAGAACTGGGTACACAGCACATGTGCAGTAATGAACAATCAGTGTCACCAACATTGCTCAGAAGAGCTTCTTGCATCTCAGGCAATCTCAAGAGATTCCCTAAAAATGCTCTTTCTTGAAAACTGTCATCTCGACTTCTGTAGCTCATCTAAGGTTCTTTTCTCCAGAGGGTGAAGACACTTTGTAAGGCCGTGAATTACAGCAAATTGCTGCCTGTAATTTTCCAGTGCCTGTTAAAATGCTTTCCAGAGCACTCAGCATTGTCCCTCAGCAGGAATACCCTTTGTTACACCACATTTTGCACAGCACAGTGCAGTCAGACCAGCTGCTCTATCTAGATTAGCTGAATATTCCCTCTTCACCTGCCAAAGAGAAAGAAATCTGAACACCAAAAATAGGTGCAGACCTGCTACATTTCACCCCAGTTGGTGATTTTGTTCAGAGGTTCAGTCTTAACAGATTTTCTGCAGTGTGTTTTCACTTCTGAATTAGTCTATTTTCATCCATTAAAAAGATGCTTTTCCTTACATGTAAATATAATTATTCAAAGTTTCCCCCATACTATTGCAACTTTTTGATTTTTCATATACAGTTTACAAGTTGTTAAAGCATTGTATCATCGAATAAGATTTTCAATTAACAATTTTTTTCTTTAAACTTATTTAATTCAACTCTCATGAGTGCTTCTGTCACTAGCATGCTTCTCATGTAGCCCTATAAGGCCTTGAAAGGGGGGGAAGAGTGGTTGATGATCAGATTTTTGTGTTTGAAGTAACTGTAAGTTCCATGCAGCTAAATTAGTATCAAACTCTAATATATAGAATACAAGTGGAAGGGGAAGAAAAAAAAAAACAATCCACCACTAACTCTCTTGGCGAGGTACAATTTTTGCTAGCAATTTAGCCACAGATGTTCACACCTAAATACATCTTTAATATATTATATTGAGCTTACTAAAGGCCAAATCATATAAAACTATAAGGACCAGATCCCCAAATGAGGCATACATGTAATTTAGGCATTTACATTCAAAACAGCTGTCCTGAGCATCCTTTACTTGGCTATTGCCTTTCTCTACGCCAGATAGTTTCACTAGTAAAGATCCAGAGATCCTGTAACACTGCCTCTTTCCATGTGCATAACTCTTTTGAAGATGAAAAAATACAAATTTTACTCACATTTGAAGATGATAATGACACAAAATTTAAATATTTTTCTTCTCTCCTTTGCAAAACTAGATCTGCCACACACAAAATACAGGTTACATGTCTGCAGCACCAGGCCCAACTCCCAAGTCAGTAACTAAAAATCAAAGGCAGAAGTAGGCTTCTCTTGAACTCTGTGCCTATTTTACAAAGAAGCTTAGAGCATGGTCTGGTGTAGATCTCTGGATCTCCCTGATATGGCAGCAGATAATTTCTCCATTCTCACCACCCCATTTGCAGCTAATGTTCATCTTCAAACTATCAGTCATACCAGTTACATCATTTCACTCAGTTTATTTCCATGTGAGTCAAATGGATTAGTTCCACCTACCTTCACCAGTCATCAAACTGGCCTGACTTGTCCAAGTAGATTAGGGAGCCCTTCCATGATGCCTTCCACTGACAGCCTTACTGCCAGGAAAAAAAGCACAGTAAACAGCCAATACTTCCAAATGAGAAAGATGTGTACCTTGTAAATATGTTGTCCACAGCTTAAATGACACCTCAAGGATGAATAGTCTCATTCAGGATGTGTGACAGAGCCCAGAGTCCTGCCATCACCCCAACACAATTCAAAACTATGTCTTTCATGAACAATCCTTGATAGCCTATTCCCATCTCTCCAGAACAGTCTGGAGACTAGGAGATAGGACATTCCTACAACAGCAGAGGTTGCTTGAGTCTCTTCACACAGCGAAGGGAAACAAATCAAGTACATAATTTTCTTTGTCTTTATGTCTTTAGGTATCTCAATGCCTAACAAAGTGTGGGGGGAGTTCCATTAAAAGATCTGAGGACATAAAATTCTGCACCTCAACACTATGATGTCTAAGTCAACTTCATGTTCTAGCAGATACTAAGGGACTCTGAGATTAATATTATTAAAATTCATTAACTCAAATAAGAGTACAGCATGAAATAAAATAGAAAAAAAATACCTAAGTAACATCTGAAACATTTTTCCCTCATTACCAAAGAACTACAGCATAAAAGTAAAGTAATGAATGTTACATTAGCCTAGTAAAATTTCCAAACCAGGTTAGCAATTACAGTAAGATTTTTTAACTTCCCAACCAACAAAAAAAAATTAGAAAGCAGGAAAAGAATTGGTGCTCACAAAATGTTTAGAATAAAAAAAGTAAGGATTACTTTGTTATGGTATGAAATACAAACCACAGTTTAGCCTGGATTTTCAGGAGCAACAGTGACTTTGAACATAAGCAAAGACAAGACAGCAAAGTAGAACAAATGCATACAAATAAAATTGTAAAAACAAAACTAAAAAATTAGCACACTGGCTTTCATTTTAATACAGGAACATCTTCACAAGATCACATATTTAATCAGATTCTGTTGTTATAATCTAGGTGTGAAACAGGTGGGGGTGACAGAAACTATCACAAGATACCACCAGGTGTACAATGAAGTTTCACACTCACAGTAAATGTTACATAAATATGTGATGAGTATTAATGTCAAAGTAAGCTTGCATTGCTGTGTGCAGTTCTAGTGATTTAACACCAATGAGTCCAAAGAACAGCCCAAGAGGAAAAACAGTGATATGGTGAGAGCTTCATGGTGTGATGAGACCTTGGAAGTTAGACATAGGGAAGAGCACTATTAAAACTGAAGGACTGCTAACCTTTGGAATGGGAGGATTAAGACGCTCTTACTAGGACAGGGGGAAGACTTATCCACAAGGATAGACACCTTGGATAGCTTTTGGTTGCTGTTTGATCAGGTCAGAAATCTCGAGCAACACCTTTTATCACTTCAGGAATGTGCCTAGAGGATGGCTTTGTTTTGAGCACAAGAGAACAAGACTACTACCCTGCTGGGATACTTCTTCCAAATTTTAAAGAGATTTTATAGCAACTTTCTCAAGAAACTGCATGGGGAAAAAAAAAAGGTTACATTTAATATGGTGCAATGAAACCTGCTGTGTAAAGTATCATGTACTGCTAATTAAGTGCAATTTTTGCCAGCAAAAAGTCAGTGATGATTTATAGTTATTTTGTCATTTCAACATCTATCATCACACCTGGCATCACAAACTTTTATAGGTGACGCTGCATTATCAGGTCTTAGATATGCTCCCCTTTTGTCCTAAGCAGCCAGCTGCTCTCTTACACAAGACAGAGACACACAAGGAAATAAGAGGATCAAAATATGGTACTTTTCCTTTTATAATCACTTCCATCTAATCATAATTCTATGCAAAATACTACCTATTTTTAACATTGTCCATTGCAAGTCTTTTAATGTTATAGATTAAACCATACAGCAATTTCATTTTCAGTCACTGATTACTACTTTTTTCCCCCCCCAGAAATTTAATTCTGTGGAAGATATCATTGAATTCTACAAATATGTTCCCATAACACTCATTGACGGAAAGGATCAGTCAGGAACTCACAGAGAACAATGCTACCTCACACATCCGTTCAAGTCACGCAGATGTTTTCTGCCTTAACTTCGCTGAGTCACTTGTACAGATGTGAATTGAACAGTTATTTAAATGTCTCAAAAATCAGATTAGCCTTTTGAGAGAGGAGCTCCTCATAATATTATGTAGCATTCTACAGATCTACTCCATTTTTTTGAGGATACAGGTAAGGTATATGTCAACATATTAATTCACAGAGAAGTGTTGAACCGACTCCTGGTATCCTGACAATGACGAATCAATTTGCTTATCTTGAACTCTACCTTCTACCATAAGATGGAAACCAAACTCACCCTTGCTCATCTAAATGTTATGGCAACTCCACTAAGTAGCAAAAGCTAATAAAGCATATCACAGTCATATAAAAAAAATATTCTTGCTTTTAAAAATACACATGAAATGCTACGTGCCAGGGCTCTCACTGTCTAACAATTTCATGTGGTGTGCGTACGTTTGCTCAACAACAAGGTGTGCTCAGCCAGCACTGAAGTGTCAGCTGCTGCTCATAGGCATTGGAGCAGATTATAAAGCTAGTTAAGTAATAGAATTTACATAATTGCAGCTAACACTTACTCTTCAGCTTGCATAGCTGATACTTGTATTCCATATACGAGGCTTCAAACACTTATACAGCAGAACAATTATGTAGTCACTTTGGATTCATACTATGTGCAAATATAGAGATAAAAATCAAAAGTAGGAACAGTAGATGTGCTTCAAACTCAGCAAGAAAACATACTCCAGTTTGTATCAAAGAACATGAGAATTTGATTTTTTTCCAGCAAAAAAATACTGTGATACTTATTCATACAATCTGAGTTTTAGAAGGCCTAACTAAATTCTGTATATGTATGAAAGGCAAATCAGGTTTTTTTCTGCATAGCATCCATAGTCTTCCTTTCTAAGCACACTCAGAAAGTTTGGCTAGGTAATTGGAATTTACAAAAAAGTAACCTCAGCTACTTTACCCTTAAGAACAGGAACAAGAATAAAAACACTCAAGCCCAAAACCACAACATTCCAACCCAATTTATGATGTAGTAGGTGGCACAAACCAGGTCTAAAAACATTTAGCAGTTGGTTGTTATTTTCTTGAAACATTTTTATTTCTTGATGCTGCATCAAAATGCAAGAGAACATTCACTGTAATTATTTTTCTCAAACTGATGAATCTGTTAAACTCAGAGGAAATTACTCTGACATAACATTTTCTAATAAGAATAAAATTAACAAAACAGAAGTTCCTAAAGCAGAGTTTAGCAGAGCTCATAAAAAGAAGCATGATGTAACCTGCTTTAAAAGCTTCATAGCCACAATACAATTTAACTTACAAAAGACTTCCATGTTAAAAAACAAAAAAAATCTAAATTAAAAACCATAACTCCCCCACATCTCAAAAATTTCAATAGCAGGTTATGGCAGTGACATACCAAGTTTTGCAGATTTTTACTAAAGTAAACAGTAAACTTGCTTACAGATGAAGGCAAGCATTACTAGTATGCTTAATCTACACAGAGTTTATAAAGCTGAGGAGTAACACCTCCCCTGCCCCTTCCCAGTACAACTTTCATGAGCAATGTCTTAATTTTGCCAGTGACAACTCTTACGAAGCAAATTCAAAACTATTTATTTATTCGCTTGTACAGAAACAAAATTAATTCAAACAGTAACCTGGACTGAAGGAGTTAAAACAAAGGAGGAATTCTAACCATGTTGGGGTTTTTTTTATGTTAACCATTTCAGTATTTATTGTATATGATATGCCAGAATTTTAAAATGTAAGCTACTTTCACCATTGAAAATGCAAAGAACACTGTTAGGTTTGGCATCAAAGTATATGTAGTGAAAAAAAAAACCCTCTAGTGTACCCATCTAAAAAAATATAATTCCATTTGAATACAAAATGAGAACTGTCATTTCCTTATTATTGACAAAAAAGGTAAAACAAAGTTTGTTCTGTGGAATAGGTTAGTCTGATACAAATGATACAAAAATTTTCAATGTGTACATGACAAAAATGATCTGACTTAAAGCACCAACTATCTGAAGAATTTTAACACTGTATTGCAATGCAGACATGATAAATACTTTATCAAAACAATGTATAATCTGCTGGAGTATATAAAAAATATTTCCAGCTTAAACTGTTTACAAAAATGCACCAACAGTGAAAAGAGTCAGGGACTACCAGTTTCTCAAGAGAAGTCCCAGTTCAAACATAGAACACACATCCAGCATTGAAGTCAGTATTGATTTTCTTATTCCTAAAACCCTAAGAAGTTGTTTTAATTGTAAGTATGTGCTTCAATATATTTCATTCTACATGATTCTAGAATGAATTAAAATTGACAAGATGAAGACAAACATCTATAGTACACATACAGAAACAGTAGACTTCAGTCATCCATTCCTCCTCTTCACTAAAACTTGTAATTTGGCCCTGATTTAGAAAATTGTTTAAGCAACTGAGCAATGTTCACACTGCACTGAAGTCATTAGGTATATGTTAGACATAATCTGTAACTAGGCACATGCTTGTATGAATTTGAGGCTTACAAAAAATATACTGTAACAACATCTAAATTCTTAAGAAGGATGAAAGATTGCACTGAAAATCTGATTCAATACCGTCAATGTAAATGCTGTGCAACATGGCTTTTCATTTCGAAAAGTCTTCATCTTCAGCGAGTTCCTCTGTAAATAAGCTCACTAACTAGAGTTCTAACCAAATGCTGAGTTCTGTAAATATTCTATCACACATGGTGGTAGAGGGTTTATATTTGGCTATTACTATTTCAGAACAGCCTAGAGGCCATATAGAGAAGTGCTTCTTGTTCCTATCAACTCAAGCCTGATTGTATTTCTGGCTTGATGGTACAGAACCCTGACTGCTCTGTTGTTTCACATCTACACAATACAGGCTAAGTAAAGACTAAGTACTAAACAAAATTCAACTTTTTAGTGCTATCTGACCTAGTGAGGAGTAACTGATTCCACAGATTTTTCATTTACACCCTTGTATCTCCTCTGGAGTCAGCAGAAGTGTTTTCATTTCACTGAAACAGAGCACTTGCATTTAACTTTTACTTTTTATGGATAGTGCTTAGTTTTCTGCTAAAACCTATGATATACACTTGCTGTCCACTGAGGACCAAAGGTGCTTTTCAGTACACGTGCTGGATCTCTGAAACACCATGCTGTAATAAAGCAAATTAAATCCTGTTAAATTTACAAAGATCTCACCATCTAAGACTTTAATCCACAGAGACCTAGCACGAACCAGTTACAGCACAGTATCCTAGGGTAAGTAGAAAGATGTTTGCATAGCAAATCTTTTTCAAATTTCTCCCATGGAACAGATGAAATTGACCTCCAATACAAATTTCAAGCATGAGAGTGCAAAGTAGTGCTTAATCCTTCCTATCAGCTTCTCTCTCTCTCTCTCTCTCTCTCAATCCGCTCTCTTCTTCCACTTTGCTAGCAGCGGAGATCTTTTGGCAAAATAAAGCAGTTATTTCAATCCTCCATCCCACGCACGTTAGTGGCACTCATTAAAAACAAGAGGGGAAACCTCCACTAGTCTCTCACTTAATGGTTTTTTGCTTGAAGAGAAAGAACATCCCAACCCTTGGTTGCCTCTATTAAGTGCCTCTGTCCGTGACTTATCCATTCTTCTTGGTCCATATACACTCTTCCACAAAACCAACACTTAAACAGACACTGAAGCATTTCAGCTGGTGAGGTTTCCACCACCTGGTAGTTGTTTTTATGGGTCTTTTTTAGCTTCATTTTTAGCATACTCTGTTTTTTTGTTTGGTTTCCTGTCTCAGCATTCTGAAGAGTAAGACGCTTTCGATAACGTTTGACACCAAGACAACTACTTGTCCTTTCTGACAGAACTACTTTCAGGACTTGACCTTTATACTTGTTGATAGTCTTCATGACATTAATTATCTCTGGTGAATCAACATCAGGATGGTTTAGTACCACAACTGGCTGGTTACGACGAGGGCATTTTATCAACTGATTCATTTTCAGAGGGACAAGCCGAAGACGTCTTGCTGTCAACAGGTATGACATGTCAGAACTTGGCATGGTTTCCAACTGAGTTCTTGCTTTCCTTTTAGGAAGTTCTCTGAAGCTTGCCTGTTTTGCCTTATTTTTGGGACCTAACTGACTTTTTGAATAGGGCTTGCTTTGCTTGCTCACATCACTGCTTTTCTGAAATGGTACACCAGTTTGTTTGCTATTATTTTTAACACTTGCCTCTCGCTTTGGTCTTTGCCTGAGTGATATACTTCGGGACTCAACATTTGGTTCACTCTGATTAGGCAAACACGGCAAATTATCACTAAGCGTCTCAGAAACACTAACTGGGACTGGGCGAGGCAGAAACATTTCATTGCAATACACAGAAGGAGCTGATGTTTCACGGTTGTTTTCTGTTCCATCTGAGTTTTGACTGCTAGTAGCATTCAGCACTCTCAGCATTGTCCCTTTGGGGATAAAGACTGGACTAGCAACATGGGAATTTTTAGTCACCCTGTTTTTAGATGTTCTTGCAAATGTAAATAGCTGATCTTCACTGTGTTCTTTGCTATTAATCACACTGTTTCCACTATGCTCTTGAGACAAAGTTACAGGCTGTTCCACTTCAGTGGCACATACAACTCTCTCACAACTTGCTGAACTTTCTTGAGCCAAAAGCACCTTCTTACGAGAAGCTTGACATCTCAAAGGCATGGATTTCACGTTAGATTCAGCAGCAGACATGAGCTGAGCAATCTTTCTACACAGCAATGTTGCTGACTTCTTATTGCGTGTTTTGTCAACCCATCTGGCATCCTCCGGAATGTTTTCAGCCCCAGAGCTAAGAGAAAATACAGATGAAATAACAGGTCCTTCAGAAGGACTGCCTTTATTTTCCATCTTCTGTAGTTCTAGTGATTCCAGAAGACGACTGTTCTTTTGACTTATGGTTTCAGCTCTCTTTACTTTGCTAAAGCCTAAAGTTGTATCCTCAAAAGGTGGAGTTTTAGTGATGCAAAATTTTTCTGCTGCCTCAGAAGAGGTAACACATTTTTTATCAAAACCCATACCAGCTAAATGTG